AACCCGTGCCGATATTGTTGGCTATGATCACGGTGCCCCTGCTTTAACCGCTCAGCCATTTGGCACTGTCTGGTAATTTGCATTGACTGTATTACTTTTAGAGGGGAAGGGGGGTGGGGGTCAGCAAGGTTTATATTAATGTAACAAATTAGGTCCAGAGTACTGACTTGTTTGACATTTTGCAGAGTCTGTGTTTTGGTGCAAAAGTAGGCTTTCAAAGTTAAAGTCAAGAAAATGGACCGGTGGTCGGTGAACACATTATGCACTCAAATTTGAGTGCAAATTTCATCCGGTTTTGCTGAAGACGTTAACTTACACCCGCCTCTGCCACTTCACTAGAATGCAATTTTCCGGCATGTGTGTTTTGGAGCAAGTTGTACTTTTTATATACAAACAAGTTTTTTTTAAATGAAAGCCTATATACAATATGTGGTTATAACAACTTGATTGATATAATTATTGATTGATTGAATTATTATTGATTCAATATTGATAGATTATTTGATTAATAGATTCATTCATTAATTTTTTGACTGACGGATTGATTTTATGATTGACGGATTAACTGTACCTCTGTTATATTCCTTCCCATGTCTGTCTCCCTGTATTGTACCAATTTCCCTCTCTGTTCCTGGCTCGTTGAAAAATGGATCAGAAACGAGGATTAGAGATTGGATTGAGACAAGGATTTGAAGGATTGTTGAAGTTTCATTCCACTGCTCTCCAGAGAATCCCTCCCATGTTCCAAGTAATGAAAGACAAACCCTGCCACTACTGAAGCGCAAAAAAATTATTTGAATTTAATAACTGGAAATAATAATAGTAATACTGTAATATTTTGTACATACTGTATTTGTAAATATTTTTGTAATAATAATAATAATATTTTGTATTTTCTTATCAACTGATGAGTGAAGTATAACAGCATGCACTAATTGGAATCTTTCTGAATAAATCAACATAATAAAATGAGAAAAATGTGTACTCATTTAGAAAATGCAAATTACCTGTATAAATTGGGATTAAAACGAACAGTTCCTGCACCTGTTGTCTAATTGAAGGAAAAAGTAAAGTGGAAACTTGTAAACAATAATAATATAGAGTTTTCCATACTTTTCAAAGCCCTTTACATCAGGGGCTTATCAGGGTTCAAATTTAGGTGGGGGCGGGGCCCAAAATGTTTCCAAAAAAACCCCAAAAAGAACGCTAAAACGAACGAACACTAAAACAAGATTTCTTCGGCGATTTTCTTAAGTAAAACATATATATTTTACTACACTATTAAAATAATACAAGTACAACCATTCTTTCACCAACAATAATTATATTTATTTAACACTAACAGAGATAATTAACAAAATCATGATTTGTAGATGACGATGTAAAGTCGAGTCGAGAAAAATCTTAGTTTATACTATGCCTAGATAGTAAAAAATTGCCAAGACTGCCAATCTCGGACAAATTTTTGGCGACCTAATTTTTTCCAAATTTCATGGGCTGAGCATGAAAAAAAAAACTAATATTATGATGATCAAAAAGAGGATAAGGAAATCATACTGTGTAACAGCATGAAAAAAAAAAAAGACCAAAGTGTTCAAAAAGAGCAAACTATAAAGAACAGCGTAGGGTAACATAAGGGATGACAGAAAGAATTCATACTGAGTAACAGCATGAAAAATAAAAGACCAAAGTGTTCAAAAAGAGTAAACTAAGAATCTGACTTGAAGTACTGTACTTACAAGTATGCTGACCATCGGAGGTCCTTTAGGATAACTTGGAGGGAAGTAGATGTCAAAAAGAAAGCATCCACCAGAGTACGGAGTGCCTTCCGGCCTGAATCAAAAGAACAAATATGCTGCTGCACCAATCACATTTCAGGATTCATTTTTAGGATTAAATTAAACATTTAAAAAGTACTAAAAAATCAACAAAACAATATACAAATGAAACATACAAATAATTATTTTAGAATTAAATTTACATTTTTGCAATTCATCTAAGACTTTGAAAATAAACTATATATTTATAAAAATAAACAATATAATAATCATATATTATATTTAACTAATATAGTGGATAACAGTGTCCACAATAAGCTCAATGAACTATTTATTATAGAAAGAATTATGGAAACAATTATATAATTCAACATAAAGACATTATTAATTTAACAATTTTTAAACACAACATACATTTTGAAATGCCATCCTCACACAGTAGTGATACATATATTAATTTCAAAGTATGAGTAATCTGCTTAACGTATTATTGCAGACTTGCAATTAATTAAGAAGTTAAATTGTTAAAAGAGCACAACAATCAAAATGCATACCCAGTGATTAGCGCCCTCATAAGGTTCACTTTTTCTTCATCCTGGAATAAAGTACAACCCAAGATATTTTTGTTATATTATTGGTTATAGCATCTAAAAATAATATCATTAATAAAGCATTTAGTTTTTAATAATTATGGTAGTTATCTTACACAAACATGCTGGCAAAAGTTGTGCTGAGGTCTTTGCATTTCTGGTTTGATTGGGTTAACTTTTGTTGTGTTTCAATAAGGGAGTGCACCGTCCCTTGCAAGCTGACTTAAGCTGTTGGTCCAATAAGTATAATGCAATGTGTACACAAAAAAATGTACACTTATTGGTGTACACTTAATAATAATAATAATATGAAAACATATATAGCACACGATCTGCCTCAAATAAAGAGTATACTCCCTTTGATTATTTCACAATAAGATTTCTTTGCAAGACATTTGCTGAAATACACAAGTTCATTAACACTTTCAAAATTGAATAAGTGTTGCTCTCTCTATGTGGTCATGTTTACACAGATACTCCACATAAGGTGGTATGCTGGGCTCCAGCAGTTTCCACATTTGGCCTGTGCCTCAGGGCTAAGCTACCGTGCACCACTGAGGCAGTGAGTGACACTCAATAGAGGAAATCGAGTGAAAATAGAAATAAAAAATAACTGTGAAAACAATCTATTCATTCAATCTACTTATTAATAGTGCACTAACCTATCACACTACAGGCAGTATGCAAGTAGTGGCGGGTTGAGTAATAATAGTAGAGTGGATCTCTAATACTTACTGTTCTCACAAATATTGTTGATGACAACGAGAAGGGCAATGAGGTGGATAGTGTTGAAAGTTCTTGAGCGATTCGGAATATCTGAGATGGAAG